ATCCCCATCACAATCTTAATTACCCAATATACCCTTCCATAAACCTAGTCTTGTTATTATTTTCTCTCTCGTTTTCTACTGTCGACCTGGCATCGTGAGCAGATCCCATCCTCCTGTCGTTTTCTGCTCTCATTCACGCCGCTCTTACAAATCTCCAAAACTAGAAAATCCTCGACCGAAATTCGACGAAAAAAAAGATATCGCCGGAGAAGAAGATCGGACTCTTCATCGGCTCCTTTCGTATCTAGAAAATTATTGACCATCCTAGATCTATCATTGGGTAATCTTTGTAGACCCATCGTCGTGAGTTTGTAGATCCATTCTTGGACAATCGTCGTCGGGCGTTCAACAGGTTGAAAAACTCTTGTGTTTTGTTTTTCAAAGTGGATTGATTTTAATTATTTTTTTTAATTTTTTTAATTATGTTTTTCGGTTGTGTGCGAGGCCGTCATCAAGGAGGAGATTGTGAAGAAGGTGCTCAAGACTGATTTTGCTTCATTGGTGGAGCTGAACATGCCCAAGAACCTACGGGTTCGGCAATGGCAGGAGCTCTGGGTGGTGTGGTGACAATGGGGAGGCTGATTTTGGGTTTTTTTTGTGGATCGGACGGAGAACAGCGCGTGTAGAGAATTTCGCGCAGGCTGAAACCTTAATCGACTATGTACATGTTCGTAGTCGATTAAGATAATCGACTGTGTTCTGGTAGTCGATTAAGATTGATCTACTCCAATTGTTTTTACTTTTTTTGGATTTTTCGTTTATTTATTCCAATTGTACAAATCAATTATAATGTTTGTATATTTTTTTTGTAATATATAGTTGATTTTTCATTTTTTCGTAGTTGTTATTTGTTATTTTTAGTAGCAGATTATTAATCAACTATGCTCTGGTAGTCGATTAAAGTTGATCGACTCCAATTTTCTTTTTTCTTTTTTTGTTTTTTTCGTTTACTGATTCCAATGTATAAATCAATTATAATATTCTTATATTTTTTGTTTTTTTTAAATATAGTTGATTTTGCATTTTTTTGCAATTTTGATTTGTTATATTTAGCAGCAGACTTTTGATCGACTATGTTTCATCATAATTGATTAATATACTGATATAGAAAAAAAATTAAAAAAAATTAAAGAATTTCTTTAATCGGCTATGAAGCATAGTTGATTAAGGCTAATCGACTATGCTCCATAGTCGATTAAGAAAACTGGTACAGAAAAGAAGGAAAAAAACGGAAAAACGAAAAGAAAAAAAATTGCTGAGCGCGTGATACAGTGATGATGTGGCGGGCGGGGACAAAGCTAAAAAAAATAATAACTCAAAATGGGTATGGATTTTTCACAAATGGAGAGAAATATTTTGGACCTCTCCCCATTAAAAAAATTAATAAGGGGTTTAATATAAGGGGTTAATATGCTTAGGTCCCTCCTACCAAACTTAATTAGAACTAAATGACAACATCAAACTAATTTTTTTAAATACACCCCTATTTTAAAATATAATATGACCCACATTCTAAATTTTTTTTTATCCCTAATTTACCCTTATGCCCTAAATATAACCTCTATTACGTTCTTCAATCCAGATCTGTTTCTCTTTTTCAATTCTTTTTTTCCTTTTCTCGATTCTTTTCTCTCGCTGCTCTCTCTCTCTCTCTCAATTATGGTGGGATGGCTATTAGGACTACATTGTTATGGAGGTTGTCATCGGACTGGTCACCGAGGCGTTTTTTAGATCGAATCTTGATGTGGGTGGTGATGGTTCTGGTTGGTGGCGGCGGTGGCGGTTCTAGTTTCTGGTGGCGGTGGCGGCGGCGGCGGTTCTAGTTTCTGGCGGCGGCGGCGGCGGATCTGGTTGCTGGCGGCGGCGACGGCGGATCTGGTTGCTAGCGGCGATGGCGACGGCGGTGGTTCTGGTAGTTGAGGGCGGCGACGGCGGATCTGGTTCAACTAATCATATTTTTCTTTTTTTGTCTCTTTCGAGAGGTCTCTCGCCGCTCTCTCTCCCTCTCGCTCTATCTATCTCTCTCTCGCTCACTCAATTATGGTGGCTATAGTGGGTGGCTGTCGGAGAGAATTACAGATCTGCAAATTGCAGCGGGTATATTATGGAGGAAACTTGTGAAGGAAGAGAGAGATTGAGGGGGGGCCAGGATCCTGGGATGGAAGATGAAGCGGCGTTTGGACAGGTGATTGGGGCGGAGGAGTTGGTGTTTGATGATCGGAGAGAGTGAAAGCAGTAATGGTTTTGCTGTAAGAATGGTTGTCCGGTGGGGGTAGAGTGATTATCACCACTGTACCTGTAAGTTGAGGATTAGACCCCTCCTCCATCACATTTCAAAGCTAGTGTGTGTGTGTGTGTGTGTGTGTGTGTGTGTGTGTGTGAATTCCTTCTCTCTCTCACACCTGTGCGTTCAGGAGGAAGAAGGAGAATATGAATTGGACGACTCTCTCTATTTGATTTCCTTTCATTCAAAGTCAACAATGGAGATGCATAATAAAACATAAAAAAGAAAAAAATATGCATAAACCCATTCAGTGGACTAGTTGAGCAGAGGATATCCACCGTGTTTCGTGCCATTTTCGTTTACAAGATTACAATATACAGTATTCATTTGTTGGGTAAAGGTTAATTTACGAAAAAATACTTCTTGTTTGAATTTTTTAAATTTGTTGTCGGCTAGGTTCGGCGACGGCTGAGGGTTGTTTGCGGCTAGAGTTTGGAACAGTACACCGTAGTAAACTATAGTACACCGTAGTATACTATTGCACAAATATGCTATTGTAACCCGTAGTATGCTACAGTACACCGTAGTATACTATAGTCTACTACAGTATTAACAACAAATGAATTTAAAAATATAAATCTTTTTTTTTCGTAATCTTCAGTATTATGAAAAGAAAAAATAATATTTTAATTGTGCAAAATTGCTAAAATGGAAAAATAGAAAGAAAAAAAAATTAAACGTGGTTGGAAAAATAAAAACATATTTAATACACGAGGGCATTTTTGGAATAAATTTTATGAAGGATGTGTAGCAAATGTTTAGTTGAGGTTGTCATTTAGTTCTAATAAGGTTTGTTACTAGGGACCTATATCTTAAGGCCCCTTAATATAAAGGGAAAATTTGACAAAACCCCCTAATTACACAAGTGTCATTACAATGAGCCCAAATTTATTTTACATTTTTAAGATAAATCCAAAACAATTTTTATTTATTAAAAGCACTTAATTATCACTATTATACCCCTAATTAAAAAATAATTTATATTTAATTTTGATATTAAAAGATATATAATATTTTTTCCATTAAATAGTCCTAATAATTAGGAAGTTAGTTATTAATTTAATTACCGTATTATCTCCTCTTATTCAATTCTCTCTCTCTCTCTCTCTCTCTCTCTCTCTCTCTCTCTCTCCCTCTCTCTTCTCTCTCTCGCTACGTGTTATCACTCTAATCAACTATGTTATGAGTACACCTTGTAAGTATAATTAATATATATATATATATATATATATATATATATATATATATATATATATATATATATATATATATATATATATATATATATATATATTAATTTGTCGTTTGTATTGGGGTTTGAATATGTTGCAGTCACATTGAGGAAGTGGAGACGCTAGGTGTTCGATATTGTTTGATTCAATGGATTATCGAATCCGAACATCTCAATCAGGAGTTATCTCGAAAGAATTGTAGATGTATGAACATGTTTGTTTTGCTTGGACGTTATGTTGTTTATCTGAGCAAAAAAAAAAAAAAAAAAAAACGAATTTGTAATTATAAAGAGTGGTTTACATATTTAGTTTGTTATACAGACTGGTTTTCATTTTTACATACTTGTTATACATAGTGTTTCTCATATTTATATAGTTGTTTATACATAGTGGTTTTCATGATTATATAGTTGTTTATACAGAGTGGTTTTCATTTGTTATACATAGTGGTTTTCATGTTTATATAGTTGTTTATACAGAGTGGTTTCATGTTTACATAGCTGTTTATATAGAGTGGTTTTCATGTTTATATACCTGTTTATATAAAGTGGTTTTCATGTATCTTCGATTTTCTCCTTCCTAAAACATGCTTATTTCAAAGTGATTACACTAATTTAATAGTGGATTACGTTAATATTAATGTGGATTATGCTTATTTATAGTAATTTTTACTTTAATTTCACAGTGAATTTCGAAAAATTTATCGATTTTCGATGAGTATGTAGTGGATTTCAATTTTTTAAATATAAACCATTTAAAAAACTGAAATTAAATATAAAAAATAATTGTTTTAAATTGAAATTTAAAAAAACCATTAAAAAAATTAAAAAAAAAATGGAAAAAGCATAAACTCAAAATGGGCGTAAGATAGGGAAAGGCGTGAGATATGAGATTTGTATACTTTAATTATTTTTTTTTATTTTTCATAATAATATAATATGTTAACTTTTATTAATAATTTAAAATTTTAAATTGAAATAAAGAAAACCATTAAATAAAATAAAAAAGATAAGGAACAAAAAAGCGTGATGAGGGGAATAATTTTTGGAGAAGATTTGGATGTAGATTATGGGTATAGTTTTTTCTAAAATTAAATAATTGTACTAATTAATAAATTGTGGGGGCACATATGATTTTTCAGGCCCATTGAATTTATCTCAAATATCATTTATAAATAAAGAATTTATTAAGAATTAAAATCCCAATTAAGGGTGTTTGGCATATAGCCCCTAATATAAAATAGGGAAGGGCGAAAAAGAAAAGACAAAGGAAAATAAACTACTGACATTGCAAAGACTTGAGTCCCACTCTACTTGACTTTGACGAGGGAAGAAAGAACGCGTTTCTTGCTTTCTTCTTTTTCCTCTTTCCACACAATTTCAGCAAAACGACATTTTAAACATAACAATCAATTCTCAGAAAATTCATATTATATAGTTAATTTTATATTGTGATCGTAAGAGAGAGAGAGAGACTTTAGAGAGAGAGAGAGATGTACTCGTCCAGAGACAACTGGGAGAGGTTAGTGACAGCAGTTGTACGGAAACAGCAGATTTGGGAACTATTCCACTCTCACTCCAGGACCCCTAGCATCAGTACTATAGCTTCATCAGATGATAATGATGATTTCAGTGAACAATTTCTCGAGTAATTTTTTATTTTCATATTTTATTTTATTGTTATGTAAAGCAGCTGAGATCTTTTATTTGAGATATACTAAATATTGGAGATTATTTTTTCAGTAACAGATGGGCAGCAACTTCATCATCTGTATCTCCACTTCCACTTAATAACCCGCCATCTGTCACTCAAGGTTTATAATTTATCTACTATCTTCATGAATTAAACTCGATTCAAATTGCAATCAACATTTCTTTTCATAGTGGGTTCCCCCCCTTTTGTTAATTTCAACTAAAATTTAGTGTGTGTGTGTACTGTGTGAGTCTAGTTTGTATTTTTCTGACATAATATTTGATTTGCTTGCAGTTATTGGCAACCCATATGGTGAAGCCATCACCCGAAAGCTATTTCCCGCTAGTTGGTACAGAGCAAAGGAAACAAAGCAAGAATATCATATCTTTAATATTCCTGGTTAGTCGTCTTCTAAATGCCTATTTAAATTACATGGTGTGTGTATATAGGGAAAATTACAGTTTATATCCCTAAACTTTACCACTAAAATGATTTATGTCCTGAGATTTTTTCATCCACGGAATATGTCATCAAACTTGCCTCTTTTCAATAATTTATGTTCAACTGTCAACTGCGTCAGTCAACTTGATGGAAATATCACATGTGGCACATGTTACATACATCTGGCCGTTAAATGCCGATTTGCCTGACACCCCGAGATGATGTAGCCGGAAAAAATGAAGTAGAGTGACATGGGGTTCTCTCCCTCTATATAAATTTTAAAATTCTCAATTTTTCATTCCCCTTATTTCATTCAACCGGATGTAGAAACCGTACCCCTAAATTCCTCGTACGAAGCATTGAATTGAGGTGAACCTCCGAAACAACAATGTTGGAGTCACTCCTTCTCGACATTTCTTCTCCTGAAATCGTCTAAAGCAGAGCGGCACCTTCGATTGAACAACAAGTGCAATGTGAGACTTTGGATTTTGTAATGGGTTTATGACTTCGAATTTGGTATGGTTTCGACTAGGAATGCAGATTGGGTTGGAAATTTGGGAGTGGGTTCAAACGATTGAAAGAGATTTTGGAATTGGATGGCTATGGTTTATTGGATGAAAAGGGAAATGGGAATTGGGAGAGTGAGTTAGAGATTGGATGTCGGCTGATTTGTGTGCCAAGCCAACATTTGACTGTCATATGTCATTCCACGTAATATTTAACAGTCAGGTTGACATCACGTGCGTCACGCGTGATGTTTACGTTCAAGTTGACTGAAGGAGTTGATGGGGAACATAAATCGTTAAGTGAAAAGTTTGAGGACATATTTCGTGGATGAAAATATTTGAGGATATAAATCATTTTGGTGATAAAGTTTAGTTACATAAACTATAATTTTCCCTTTGTGTGTGTGTGTGTCTATATATATATATATATATATATATATATATATATATATATATTTCATATACTTGTTATTTATGTTTAATTACTTATTTCATCTTATTATGCAAAATTATGTGCTAGTGGAATTAAATGTTATGTTTGGTAAAGATTATAAATTTAATTAATTTTTTTATGTTAATGCTTTATTTACACTTAATCCATGTTATGTGAATTATGTAGCATATGTTATGAAATTAGTGGGCATACAAAAGTGTTATGGTGTGTAGTTTGTGTGAGTGTGTGTGTTTTGTAGATGACCCCGTGATGCTCGTAATATCATCGCACAATTTCTTTGCGGTTGACAGGGGTAGCTTCCGTTAGTTTTTCTGTCAAAATTAACTGCGCATGTCAAACATATATATATATATATATAATGGCGAGTCCAGAAATTTGTTACAGTTTTTGAAAAAAAATTGAATATTTTTTTGTGACAAAATCAGTAAATAGGAATGAAAAAAAATTTAGAGCTTTTTTTGAACTAATTTCGATTTTGGGTGAGCTAATTAATTAAATTTGGGTGGGCTAAATAGATATATAAGTATAATATAGGGGATAAATTATATATATATATATATATATATATCTCCCATATATATATATATATATATATATATATATATATATATATATATATATATATATATATATATATATATATACACATGTTCCTTACATTACTTGTTTTGCATTATAATTGGTGATGCGATGATGGGCGTTTGCATGCAGGAGTCAGAACATTTTCTCTAAACGAATTGAAGATTGCAACGGATAACTTTGCGGATAAAAATACCCTTTTTAGAGATGTATTTGTAAAGTCGTACAAAGGCCGGTTAGAGAATGGCTTTATGGTGGTAGTTAAAAGATTTAAACAGGTGAAGAAAAACATCTCACCTGCAGAGCAACAATATTTTCATGCAGAAGTTGAAATGATGAGAATTGTTGCCGCGCATCCAAATTTACTTGGAGTGATTGGTGGCTGCCTTAAGCAAAAAGAAAAGCTGCTCGTTTATCCCTACATGGCCAACGGAACTGTTGCATCATTCTTAAGAGGTTATCTCTTGAGCCGTTCGTGTTTGCGATTAAAAAAAAAGTATCCGCCATCCATATCAATAATAGCTGTTAATTAATTATATTGAAGATATCCATTAATTAATATTTTGTTTGAAATTTAACTGGTGCTATTGCAGATCGACCGGAGTCACGACCTCCACTTGATTGGTCAGTGAGAAAACGGATAGCATTGGGGGCAGCAAGGGGTCTAGCCTATTTGCACGATGGCTGTGAACGAAAAATCATTCATCGTGATGTGAAAGCTGCAAATATATATTTGAATAAGGACTTTGATGCAATTATTGGTAACTTTGAGTTGGCCATACACATGGACCACGGCGTAACTCATGTGGAAGAAAAATCTGTACCCGGCGCAATTCGTCATATAGCTCCTGAATACCTCTCTACGTTAATTTGTTCAGAGAAAAGTGATGTTTATGGTTATGGTATGTTTCTTCTTGAGCTCATCACTGGGCAGAGAGTTGTTGATCTTGCTAGGATTGCTAATGACAAAGATCTAATGTTAATTGATTGGGTGAGAGCCTATATCTGTACATATATATATACAATTAATTTGTAAAGTATGCCGTAAATTCGGTTGCCTTAATGACTAACTAAGAGCTTCTCCAATAATATATATCAGGTAAAGACACACGTAAAGGAGAAGGAATGGGTGAGGATTGTTGATCCTTATATTGGAGGTAATAGTTATTATTACATTGAAGAAGAAGTGGAGCAATTGATTCAAATAGCTCGGCTCTGCACACAAGACAACCCGGAGAGACGACCCAATATGTCGGATATTGTGAGGGTAATGCTACCACTTGGAGTTGGAGATGGCTTATTATTAGCTCAAAGGTGGGAAGAGTTCTGTAACGAAGAAATAATGATCAGATCCGATGAGCAATTGGATCTAATTTTACCGGATAGTCCAATGCAATCAGATGAACTATCCAGCCCCAGATGATTAGTGCAATATGTTTCATTTACACTAGTATTTCTCTCTGATAAGTCAAATTTGGAAGTGTTTGTGTGTCCTATATGATTAGTTTTTCCGTCAAACTTAATGTGTCAAACTTCAAGGGGGTTATCTGAAAAAATGAAAGGGAAAATGTAAGGCAAAGGGGGTCATCTGCAAAAATGAAAAGGGAAAATGTAAGCACAAGGGGGTCATCTGCAATAAAATTACTTTGCCGTTTGAAAAAACTGACGGAAGCCACCCCATCAACCACAAGGGGAGTCATCTGCAAAAGTTTGTAAATCAGAGGGGTTAAGTGCTATTTACCCTAATTTATAAACAAAATATATCGGATTTAATTTTTATTTACCCCTCAAATCTAAACTATTTGAATCAAATTTTGCTCAATAAATAAAAAACATTAACGGAACAAACAATCTAAATCAAATGTCACAATCTCATTTACATAGTAGCAATATCCTAGGTTACAACCAGATTCGTTCTACCAAACACTCCAATATGGGTTTTCCCTCCTTTTGTTTGGCGTTAGGTTCAACTACAACTCAATTTTTTTTCTTTTTCTTTTTCTTTCTTTTTTTCTTTTTTTTCTTTTTAGTGCGCTTTGTCTAGTTTGCGGTTTTATGACATGATATTTTATTGTGTTTTCAAGTACTTTAGGGTGATTCTCCATCAAATACGGTAATGTAGTTTACGGGGGCGTAAATGAGCCGAGCTCATCAGATTTTTCGAGCTCGAGTCAAATTTGGCGAATTCAATGTCGAGCTCCAGCTCATCGAGCTTCCATTTTATGAGCTTCCATTATTTATATGATACTAAAATAAGTAATGGAATAATAAAACTTTTGTTTTAATTTTTTATGTATGTATGTATTATTATTATATATTTTATTACTATATAAGTTATATTTATAATAAAAAATATAAATAGCTATATCAGATATAAAAAAATTAAAACGAAAAACTTGCAAGCTGGTCGTGAGCTTATGATTATGAACAACTAAGGATGGGCTCGAGCTCGATCTCGAGCTTTTGTCAAGTTGGCTCATCGAGCTCACGAGCTGGCTGAGACAGTGGTGAATCCAGATTTTTTGTCAAAGGTGTTCGAGATTGGACTAAAAGTTTACGGGGTTCAGGGGCAGCGCCCCTGGTAATTTTTTTTATAAATAGTATACACATAAAATAATAGAAATATGTAAAAACTTCAAATATAAAAAGATCATTTACAAATTTTGGGATAATTTTGAAAATATTTAGACATAAACTTGATGAAAATGTTCAAAAAAACTGTAATTATAGTTTTAATAGCAAAATGTGTAGTTAATCTTGTAAACTATCGCATCATATATATATATATATATATATATATATATATATATATATATATATATATATATATATTATATCTTAAAGTAGAAACCCTAGATATTATTTGCTATCCCCTTTTTTTTCTTCTACACGTTGCTTCTTACGTTTTTTTTTCCAGTTTTCTTTTACTTCTCAGAACTTCTTCTTCTGTTCTTCAAGAGTCACCTTCACCAGCTCGTTTTTTTCAATTTTTTTCACTTCTCAAAACTTTTTCTTCTGTTCTTCAAGAGTCACCACTCACCAGCCCGTCAACTGACAATTGCCGAGCCTTGCCGCCTTTCTCTCCATCTCCGGCGTTGACTACCGGTGGTCCGGTAATTTCTCTCGTTCTCTTCTCTTGCTTTAATTTCTCTTGTTCTTATAAAAAAATTCGAAACCTCTAATTTTAATTTCTTGTAAATTTAATTTCTTGAAAATTTAATTTCTTTAGATTTTTTTTCTATTTATTTATGTTCTTTTTCTCTAATTTATTATTTGTTTCTAATTTTCCAGGTTTATATTTTGAATTAGGATGTCACAAGAAACGAGTTCATCTCATGCTAATCCCTTGCTAGATGCAAGTACAAAGGAATCTCCACAAGGAATAAATACTCCTACAACTCCTAGCACAACTACTCATAGCACAGCTACTCCAAGCACAACTACTCCCAGCACCACAGATGAGAATGTGGTTATCGTGAAGAGAAGAAAAACATCGGATGTGTGGTTGCACTTTGACAGAGTAACTGTTGGGGGAGATCCAAAAGCACAGTGCAAGTATTGTAAGAAATGTCTCGTTGCAAAAAGTACAGATGTAGCAACTCATTTACGTGATCATGCTACATTACGGTGTATTAAAAGAAAGTTTAAAGACATTAGAGACATGAGGCAACAAGTATTGGTTAATGAGAAAAATAAGGTCGATGGTAAGATGGTCTTGAAATCTGGTCAGTTTGATCAAGAAGTAGCTCGACGGGAACTTGCTTCTATGATTATCTTACATGAGTTGCCTCTAAGCATTGTGGATTATATTGGCTTTAGAAACTATTATCTTGCTCTCCAACCATTATTCAAGATGGTTTCTAGGAACACAATCAAGAGAGATATACTTAAGATTTACGAGGCCGAAAAGGCGAAGATTATGCGTTTTGTTGAAAAAAATGCAAGTAGAATTGCAATCACCACTGATATGTGGACTTCAAGCAACAGGAAATGAGGTTTCATGGTTGTCACTGGTCATTATATAGATGAATGTTGGACCTTACATAGCCGTGTGTTAAGGTATTACTTTTTACAGTTTTAATTTTTTTTTCGTTTTTTTTTTTTTTTGTATTTTCTAGATGATAAATGATTCTAATAACTTGTACTGATTTTTAATACATGGGCGGGTTTATTTACGTTCCGTCTCCACACACCAGTGAAGTTATATATATATATATATATATATATATATATATATATATATATATATATATATATATATATATATATATATATATATATATATATACTAGAGTTAGATCACCTTAGTAAGTTGAAGTATGATGAGCTGGAAGAGCAGAGTGAATCATTGGCTCACGAGCTTGATGACCTTGAGATACCTGCGATCATAGAACACGTGAACTAGGCCGGGGGTTGATCCGGCGGAATTCCCTCCGACGCTCAAGTCAGACGTGCGGATAGTGGAAATAGTCCAGAGAATACAGTTGGTAGTATTGCTCAGATAATAGGACATACCTTAAGGAATGAGTTCAAACCTTTATTTATACCTTAGTTGAGATTCTCGGGCCCAAACCTTACTTGAAGGTGATTGGGCCTCGGTGATAGTGGTCTTCAATATTGAGATCGTGGCCCAGTAGGTAAATAATTTGTAGGCCCATTGGGTTGGCCCAATTAGGCATATCATTAAGCCCCACATTCTCAAGTCGATGTGGGGGCCATGTCGGAATGGATTCCAGATCGTGTTGAGAGTAAAAATTGTAGTAGTCGCTCGTTGGACCGTGACCACGTTTTAATGAAGGACCCGTCGAAAACAAATAGATAAATTTGAGTAATCAAGCTGCCAGGCTATTTAGATTCCCATAATATCTCTAAGTGTTTCTAAGGTTGTAATCGTGCTAAATTGAGCTTGCGATTGTGTAGTGGATTGCGAGAGAGTTGTCTCGCAGCGAAGTTATAGGAGAGTTTGATAACACGTGACTGAGGAGCGTGCGTATTGAGGTCGCTCTGAGCGAGTTGTAGTAGCGAGCGAGTTGGCTCCTCGTGGGAGTGTCTCGCTGCGGGTTGTTGTACCGAGCGAGTTGGCTCCTCGTGGGAGTTATCTCGCTGCGGGTTTGTAGTACCGAGCGAGTTGGCTCCTCGTGGGAGTTGCCTCGCAACGAGTTGTAGGACGGAGCGAGTGGTCTCCTCGTGGGAGTTATTCAATATTGGAGATTCTCGGGCCCAAACCTTTCTTGAAGGTGATTAGGCCTCGGTGATAGTGATATTCAATATAAATATCTTTTTTAGAGATGGATTTGCAATGTCCTACAAAGGATGTTTAGATAATGACTTTAAAGTTGTAGTTAAAATCTCGGAGGGGTTCTAAGTCCATAATCCCAAGTGGAATTCTATGGAGATGTATATTAAGATGAGGAACATATTTTTGATAGTTATCTCATTAGATAGTTTCAGAAGAAAGATATATCTCTACATATTAATCACCTGAACGCGTGTATCCAAAATAGAAGGAATTTCACATTTTTAATATTGTGATTATTGTCATTAATTGGTTTCCTTGTTTGATATAGGAATTATTTTATTAGGATAGAAATTTTTGTGATAACGCAAGATGGTATACTGTTCTATATCTAATATAAGTCTTTTATGTTTCATTTAGATTTCTCCAGGGCTTCACATGAAATATAAAAGCAGGATCTAATGGCGAAGTTATTTGCTGAGTCTTTTATCACGTGGATGATTTACCTCGTCACCCTCCACCGCCTTCCATGTCTACCAAGCCATGTAAGCAAAGGGAGAGAATGAAGAGCAAACACAGAGGGAGCTGCACAAGGAACACATACATGGGAGACACACACAAGGGGGATGAGATGATGTTGTTGAAACACCTGGTGCTAATAAAGTTGTTGCTATTGCTGGAACAGAAGATGGAACTGTTGTTAAGGAAGATGCTACCGCTGCCGCGAGAGTTGATGAGACTGTTACCGTTGGAAGCGATGATGTGTTTTTCTTTGATGTCTGAAGATGGAGCATTTTATTCAGGGGGAAAAAATGACAAGAATCAATAAATGACAAAGGGGGAGATTGTTAGAATCTATTTAGATTCTAATATTAAGGAACGTGTTTGACTTGTCAAACACTCCTCCTTGAGTTGTGCTCACTACACGGAAGTTCCCTTCCTTTGTAATCTTTATTTGTTATTAAGTGATAGTACTTAATATATATTATAATTATGGGGTAATGGCGAATAGGCCCATGAAAAATGCACTTAATTAAAAGAGGCACATTCAACTTTTTTGTCTTTCAAATAAATCCAGCCCATTCAAACTTATTTGCAAATAAGGAAAATCCTTTCATATATACCAAAATTACCCCCAATTCATTGAAACCCAATTCAATTACAATATCTTGATTTACACCCCAATT